CGAGCATCAGCGGTCAGTGGTGATGTCGGTTCGTCATTCTAGACTGCTTCTTCAGATCCAAATCTCGTGACAACATGTGGGAGGGTAAACTGTGTTGGGGACTAGGTATAAAGCAAGACATAGTTCTGTCTTCGTGTTAGTTTGGAGTGAAACTGTGTTTTTTTTTTATCAATCAGAACGAGTATGTAAATTATGTTAAAGGCACCCCAAAATCGATATTGGATGGCACGATCTACTTTCTCAAGTGCTTTTATTCACATTGAAGCCGGTAAGCAGGTATGTGACTCTGATCGGCGCCCTTTGCTTTGTCACAATCGGTGTATTTTAGTATGCTCTAGTTCAAACCACACCCCTCTCAATTGGCAGGGCTTATGGATCACCCAGGACTCTCAAAAATGCTGAATTGTGATGAGTCCACCCATTTGTTATCATATTACTGGTTAAAGACGACAGAAAATTTTCCGCTAGAATAGATGCGGTTAAACTGGACATTTGACTCCTACGTAACTATCTCGGGGAAACAAATAATTCGCTTGACAAATTTCAGACTAAAATTTGAGCTATCGAGAAAATATTCCGAATTTCCATTTAACCGGGGTTTGATTGAGTGTCGAAAGCAGGCTTGCCGTTTGAAGCAGCAGGGCAAAATCAATAAAAATCGATTTCTCGCTGAGTCAGCTGCATGCATGGCGTGTGCGCTAGCGTGATGGAAGATGTGAGGGCGGAGAATTTAAAATTTAAACAAAGGAACCAAAACTAGCCCGGCCTCTTTGTAAACCCCTTACGGTCACGTAGACCTCGGTAATATTAGATTTTTGCAGACACGTGAAATTATCTTTGTGGCAATCATGATATAAGCATAATTTCTCGGCCCAAACAAGCATCAATTTGATCGATTTTTGGTGAATTCAGTTTTGGCTGCTTGACATTCGATCAGCGAATGAACGTCGCTAAATGAAGCGAATTCGACAAAATCTAGTGAATTCGTGTTCACTCATGCTTGGCAATAATGCTCTCAACATTTTCTACTTTAATTGCAAGATTTAACAAACTAATAATGCAATTTCGCCCACAAAACACTAATTGCGCTAGACCTTGTAATTCCCCAAGGCACATTTTCACTGGAGTGGCGATCCAGACACCTGGGATTTGTACGCTGTTACTTACTGCAATTTGCGTATGCAGAAACGTGAACGGCGTAGTAGAAAACGTAGGTGACGGTTATGTCAATAACTGAAAGGCGGTAGTTTACGAGGCCTAGTTACTATTCATCAACTTTATTAATATTTCACTAGCAGTCAAATTTGTACTGTTGTCATAATGGGTTATTTTTTAGTGAGCTCAAAGGTGCTCGTGAGAGCACGCTAACACAAATCTACGACAAAACTATGAGGGCAGCCACTTATATGAATAGCTTTTTTTTCCCTACAGAATAGTGCTTTGTCAGCTTGCATTCGTAGCCTTGCATTAGATTTTTTTAATAAACTACGGTGCATATCTGGTAGGACCTTGTTGACAAGGCAATTTGTCGATTAGGTGGTTGTCGCTGCCAAGTCGGGGTTCCCACGTACTCAATTCACACAAGTGGCTCATGTCGAGAAGCCTTTGGTAGCCACTTTGCACGACACTAGACAGCTTTCAGGCGGCGAAAGATGTCAGCTTTATGAATGCGCTTTTAACCGTCTCACACTAATGACAACTTTCTAATTTCTAAATTGGCAATGGGCATATGGTATGAAGGCTTACATTGTGATACTGACTGCTTCATACCGGGGCTAAACAACGTGTCAACTAGAAATCGAGTGTATGGAGTTGGGTGAAATACCACCTGCACACCAATTGGAAGCCACTTCAACTTCGCCGGATCTCGTGATAGGTTCAAAGGGATCAGATAAGACAGGCGAGGGTGAGTCCACTCTCCCTACCCCCCTCCCCCCCCCCATTCCGCCTTGGTAGGCTCCCAAATAAGCACGCGTAGCTCGCGTTGCCATCTCCGACAGACACTGTGGGCGGACTTTCGCACCTCGCACGAGATCAATAGTTTCCTTCAGACAGCCAATCAGCGCCCGACTCGCGTGTGATTGGTTCGCGTGGAGCGCGCGCACCAAGCATGTCATACCCAAGTACAAATTAGCTCCGCACGTCGGAGACGCGAATCCACGCCAGGGTCTCCGCGTTGTTTGCCTTGTCTTCGTCGTTGCAAAATCGCTTGTTTGTCCGTCTCGTGGCCCTCATCGTCTGGAAACCCTACACGCGACTTGTCATTTGTCTCGTCTAGTGGGAGATGTAAGGTGGATTTAAATAATATGCCTTTGTCTTCCACGCGGCATCGAAAATTTGCTTCTGCCGCTTCTTCTTGGTCTTCTACGGTTTTCTCGCTCCACGGTGGATCGTCCTATACCAAATGCCTTTCAATTACATTCCTGTTGCTCGCCGCCCTAGCGGTTGTCATTTCGCCATGTCAGGCATTTGACGTCTATGATGATTGTGTTATTCACCGGCCCCCGTCTGCTATGGGTAACTTCACTTCCGCGTATGAACTTCGAAAGCAGTTCGACCAAATCAAGCGGCGATGTGATGAAGCTAACCGAGAACGTGACTCGTGGGCAGCCAGTGAACCCAACCCCAGTTACTTCAAGGAAATTATCCCAGTTGTGAACCTCGGTGTCCAGCTGGCGACCGAGGGCCGTGATTCCATCGCTCAACTGCTACCAGCTATCGATTTGGCCATTGAAAAGGTCATGTACATGCCTGCATTTCGTGGAGTTGCAATTCACGTCGTCCCGATTCTCTACCTGGACTGGCTTGCCTGTGATTCCCTAGCCGTCGTTGAGAAGTTCCATCGACGCGAGATCAACGTACTATTCGGTCCCCTCAATGACTTTGTCCTGGGAGCTGCCGCCAGATTTTCCACGGCTCTCTACTTTGTTCCCATTGTTTCTCCGGCAGCGTCCTCCGTCAAATTGTCCGACAAGCATGAATACGGTCTGTTAACTCGGATGTACTTCACCTACGCCGACCTGGAATGGGTTTTCGCGTGCACGCTGATTCATTTCGGCTGGAAGCCGAAGGTTGATGCACCGATCGCGTTGATCACAGTTCAGCCAATATCCGTTGCGGACACCTACAATGCCGGCTGGGATTCCTTTTTCCAGAAACAAGCAGTCTCCTCTGTCCTCACTGACTACAAGCCCCACAACTACCAAGTGGAGCGTGGAATTGAGGATCTTAAGAAAATCTTTGTGGAATTACCTAAAACTGCAAGAAGTAAGCTAGTCCAACCTTTTTCTATTCATTTGAATTCTTTTTACCCCACATTTGACCCTCTCGCATCAATCAGTATTGAAGCCATTTGATTGTGCTCATTCAGGGCTCGATAAAACCTTGAACACACCTGTAAATCTACCACTTAATGTGTCGTTTTCACAGCTTGTGCACATGCTCAAACCGTTATTTTTGGTCTGTCAATCATTGTCTGTAGGTTCGAATGAAATTCAACGGCAATTAACATGTCAAAAGGCACTAGAAATGCTCTTAATTAACCAGTCTTGTTTGTGAATTTAGCAGCTAAATTGCTCAAGAAACTGGTTTTTCCTGCCTCTCTCGTCGGCAAATTTTCATTCTTTGTGTGTTTGGGTCAAAAGGACCACATCATTTACTTATTAATGCAACTTCTTGTTGTTCACTTCGTTGAAATTTAATAAGCCTCTCTCATATTAATTAACTATGTACCTGCTGTTTCGTACTCAAAATAGGACGGTTGGATATATCCACAGGACTCAAGCCTGTCATGAAATTAGGCCAGCACTTCGCTCTCAAAACACGTGTTTCCTTTTTCATAGACGCTATGGTTACAAATAAACAAGTTCCACGTTTAAGTCTTGTCTAGGCGTTTGCGATTAGCCTGGGGTGGACGCACTGGTCTTTGCGAAACGCTATGACTAATTCGAAATGAGTCAGCAATCTTGTGCGACTCCTCCTCCTAAGACAGTGGTGGCACGTGCGTTTTCTGCGTGGTCTCGTTCGAAAACCCGTGAGTGCGCCCTGGTTGTCCACATTTTCAAATCGACCGCGAACTCAAACAAGGTCGATTTAAACTAGACAAGGACGCTTCCTCATTTGGTGAATTCCACTCGGGTTTTCTCATTGTGAATGATGGCGGTTGAGCGAGTGTGTTGTCTGTTGATGTACATTTTGTCGAATACCGTGAGGATTCGCTGACTGGTCCATCATCTCTAGGCCGTCTCAAGGTCACGCCTGTTTCTCCAAATGGCGCTGTTTTTGATTCCACAACCAAGTAGGTCCATGGAGCCCAGGATTGCACATTCTCCAACCAGAAACGACCGCCATTTCCCGTCCAGTGTAGTTCCTCTTCGTGTTCGCGGTCCACTTGTACATTTTCGCGCAAGCGGCGAAATTGGCTGTGCGCCACTGCTAATTGTCATTAATACCACACACACGCCTAAATATGATGATTACCGAGGTGTGTGTGCGTGCGCGCACACGCACACACACACCCATCGGATATTTATCTTTTACAGACTTCCCCGAGGTCGTCTCAGTCATTCTTCAGGGTGTTTCATAAACAAACAGACACACACGCACACACAGCGGGCGCGCGCGTGTGCGTGCGTGTTTATGTTGACACGTCAGTTGGCTGCCACGTTGTAGTCGGTGTCTTCCGGTGAAGCCCACGATGATATTTCGCCCCACTAGCCACGGCAGACAGGTGGCATTCGCGGTTCAGGTGCGTGTGCAGTGCTAATTTTGCTCACCAAGATCCGAGCTAAACGGCGACATGAATTGTCCAATCGGATAGCAGTCCCACAGAATCCTCACTTTTGATTGGCTAGGAGGAGGCTCATCTTTCTGGTGTGCTAAACGTTAAGCGGTGCTGATCTGAGGCTTCTCTCATTGGTTCGTGTGTGTTCAGAATGGTTCATTGGATTGGATAGCCTGCCTTTCTTGGCCAGAAACGGATTTGCTCTCTTCAGTTCCAACGCCCCACGACAAGCGTTGTGTGCGCCTGCAGCGCAGTCAGTCGTGTTTTAATATATCGCCGGAGAATGATGGGGGTTGTGGCTGCTGCTATTCAAGTTGGGTGCGCGGTCGGAAGTTAAACCATTAACGCGTTGTGCGTGCACTCAGGTGCGCACGTGTGCGCATAAATCGAAGGCGCGCGCGCACGGCCGCACTGACAACAGATGGCGGACGCGTGCGCGCGCGCGTGTGCGTGCGGCACATGCGGCCACTGTCGCCGCCTTCGCCAGCTGTCCGAGGTGCACGTGCGCACGTGCGCGTATTTTACAATGAAAGCGTGCTCGCGTGCGTGCGTGCGTGCGTGTATCTGTGTCCGCATTGCCCCCACTTATATTGTTGCTGCTACCGTGTCCAGATGCAGACGGGGAGGCGGTGGAGGGAAGGGGTTTGGTGCGTGGGCGGGTGGTTATGAGGCCGTGACCGTGTGCCATATGGTGCGCGCGCAGCCGTGGCTTTCATCGTCTATTCTTCTACCTTTTTATGCTCCCCCTCCCACATACTGCTGCTCACGTCTATCCCTCTGCCTCAAATAGCAAGACTCGGCTTACAACAACGCGAACCGATGTTCCACGTGAGCTTGGTACGCAGACAACCCCGCCACTAGCAGTTTCCGTGGTTAGCGTGTGTGTGTGTGTGTGTACGGCTCATCGATTTACTATTAAACCTCGTCTTCCTATTTCCGTCCGGTCGATCGATATTACCCGTTATCAGATCCCCTGCTAGCCCGGCGACGATCGAAAACAAAGTCCACCAAAAAACTGTTTTCAAATCAACCCCGACAACCTCTGATGTCCAGTTTGGCAGTGGAATAAACAACTTTGGTGGCACTAACTGCAAAACCTTTGCGATAAACACGCAGGCTCACGATGTTTATTTCGTTTAAACAATACACTGGTTTCCGATGAGTGATAAGTCCAGTGGTTGACGTGCGTGTCAGTTATGCCTGTGTGCACGCCCGGTCGCATGTTTACTGCGCATTAAACCGACGACGTCTGCAAACAGTTGTTGATAGTGTTGTTTTTGTTAAAACCGGGACTCCGCCCTTAATCGGCCTTCGCCTGGTGCACCTGCTTATCAGACATCTTGTCTTGCCGTTTACACAAACTTGCAGATATGCCGCATCGGTCGCCAGAAAAAGGAGTTAGGAAAGCCTATTGGACCAATGAAAATGGGGGGAGCGTGAAACCGGAACGCATTCTGGAGGCGGGTGGCTGTCATGGAAATGTCTTGATCCTGCTCTGGTCCCTCATTCAGAACCTCCCCCTCCCTCCCAAAAAAAACAGCCTGTGTGTTTTCTCACTCGAACTTGATATTGATTGGTTCCACTTCAAGGTCGGTGTCAATGATTGGTTCGTTGGAAGACGGAATCCACGAAGTTAATTCGTCAATTTGGTTGGCGCCAATGCCACTGCCTACTTTGTAGGCCTTACGACGCTACTCTGTTTGCTGGATTTAAAAACGCGGGACCATCCGATTTGTTAGGCACAACGTCGGATTCTCTCAAGGACGTTTCAAGGTCACGACGAATTCAAAAATAGACGCGAACATTATTTAAATTCTTGGATATTTTTGGAGGCAGACAAAGATACGCCACAGGTGATATTCCTTGATGTGTTTCCAGCACAGAATTAGTTCCTGCGCATTTAACAAATGCACCTCAGCATTGAATGTCGTTACAGCGTTTTGGAAAAACAGGCGTGACCTTGAAACGTCCTAGAGAGAACGCACCAGTCAGCGAGCCGTCCACTCTATGAGGCTACGCTTTTGCTTGATATTTTCCACCACAACAAGATTCTAGGGCTTCGTAAGTACAATCGTGGTGGACGCACCAAGGAATACGATGGTGATCCCTTAGAGAAATTTTGGAAATACGGCGAACGCAGTGACGTTCCACTGGCTCAACGAGACATTCTTTCGAATGACTGGCTTCTCAGCAACACCATGAAACCATCTTCAACCACCGATAAATCGCGGGTTTATTTGCAGAAATGTGTCTCCTGTCATTGTGTTCGCCTTCGTTCAAGGTGTTCTTCAGATCTGTTGACTTTGAAGAAATCTACTCCTGTCTTCCCCCAACACCCCCCATCGATCACGAACATGTTTGACCTTGAATGCAGTCGTCAATGATTTCGATTGGTTGGTAGATATTTCGTGTGGAGCTGCAGTGGGGATGAATTAAAACGTTAGTCCTGACGATCGATTATCGAGCGTTGACACAGCAGTCCTTGTCTCTCCCAATTGGCTAGGCCTTCGTCATCGTTGCCTCAATTGTCTTCTCCACGCACTAAACGTACCCACGTGGTGCGAAGTAGCGAGTTATGGATGTGCTTGCTCACCTCCGCAGAAATTGTGCTGTTGCCTTGTGAGTGGGTGGGTGGGTGGTTGGGTGAAGGTTCGTGGGTGTGCACTGGGTGCTGATTAACGCGCATACTTCTAACGTCGCACGGGTGTCAACCGATGACACAGCAATGCTGACATCGTGTCCCCTCACGCACAAACAGCGAGTGGATTTTGAAAGATGCGGTCACAGTCTGTCAATGGATTCAAACCCTTGAATCTGTGCGTGGGGCATTTCGAAAAAGATGTGGGACGTCGGTTTTCAGAAGTGCCGGTTGCACGTGTGTTTTTGTGTCACGGTTTGTTGACAGTGGTTGAATGTTAGATTTAGGCTCGTTTGGGGAGGACTCGTGCATGAGCGTGTTGATAGTCGCTACTGTTGGAGTGGAAATGCGAGGCCCTAGAGGTGGGGTGAGGCAGGCATGTCATGTTTTGGAGTCGATTGTTTGAAAGAACGGCACAATTGGTGGACAAAATGGCGACCAGGAGATCAGTTGGCCGAGGTTGTTCTGGTGGACGTGCTGTGGCGCGATCACACCACGTTGGGGTGATTGTGGCTTCAGCCACATGACCGTGTCGCTGAGGTTGTCGGACAAGATCAAACGCGTTGTGAATTGTTGTGATTTGGTATCAGGGAGACGTGCGACGCAGTGACGTGTTTGTTGTCAACAGATAATGGCGGTAGAATAGGTGGCAGTGAGAGAAGATGGACACGAACTGGAATCGTGTTGTTTCAAGAGCATTCCCTGGCACCCCTCATTCTCGACAGCTCCTGAATGCGTGCCGTATAATGCAGAATTCTTCAAATAATGATGATTGGAAATCGAGGTTGAATAAGATTTTCGCCATAGTGAAGCTTACAAATATATGCGAAAACTTCGTACCGCAAAATAGATCATACCTATGTAGTAAAAGTCCATTCTTTGATAAAACAATAATACGTGCTTTTCTTAGCGCAATAAACAAAAGTGCTTTCTCGCGAATCTACTGACGGTTTCACAGTTTACTAAGTTTATACTATCACTGTGAACAGCGCGTGAGCGTGCGTGTGATTGGGTGTGCTGAAATCACAAAAAAAACATTTTTTTCGTTTCCAGAGCAGCTGTAAGAACATTCCATACAATCCGCTTGCTTGCCAAATCGTTTGTGTCTGAAAAAAACGCAGAAAGTTGACGTTTTCCAGTACTAAATACCAGCATGTTTGAAAATATAATATTGAGGCATCATTTGAAAAAAAAACTGCAAATCGATGCTTGTGGATATAACGAAGTTTTGATGTACGCGCTAACGCCACTGTGACCTTGTCCGTTATTGGCTCATACTTGGTGTTCCCGTAAGTGGACACGAAAACGCGCACAACGTAGCCCCGTGGTAAACCATTTACTTCTGGAAGTGCTTCATTTCCCGTTCAAGATACATCAAGGCTATGCTGGACATTTCGTCTCGCTTAC